GAAGACTGGCTCTTCAAAATATCTTCTTTTGTGTTCAACATAAGAAAGAAACTCATACAGGTTTGGAACGACATGAGGGCGAGTAAATGATGACAATTTTCATTTTTGGGTGAACTATCCCTTTAAGAAACAAAGTGATTATATGGTTTATAGTCTAGTTTACTGTGTGAAATAATCATACCTTCTTCAGCAGAAAAAGGCAGAGTTTCAACAAAGTCCCATCCTGAAGAGGCAGAACTGCCAGTGCGGAGAAGATGAATGCACGGGTTGCTGAGAGGACGCTTTACACGAGGAGGAGCGCACTCTAAACCATGGACACCTTTGAGGGACAAAAAGACAGCTGAAAATATACATTTCATTCCATAAAACATGTAAGTCACCACAGACTATTATGTTAGCTTAGCAACATGTGCTAATTTAAATCTCTAATGGAATAAACTATAAAAAAGTATTGATAAAAACTGGTCCATTTGATTAAAATGGACTATTTAACCTAATAGTTGTGTATGCTATGTATTTTTTTAATGTACTATTTTCTATTATTTGTTTATTGTGTTAGCTTTGCGATATGTGCTAATGCAAGTCTCTTTTGGAATTAACTGCGAGTAAACCAAGTTCAAGTGAGTTTAAGTTGCTAATGTAGGGGGTTTCATATCATGAACTTTATAGTTACAGTCAAGACATTGGTGGGGGACCAAAAAATAAATAAATACATTGTAAGGCATACTTTTGTTGGTATTTTCAATGGAATTTTAAGTTAAAGGAATTAAAATATTAAAGGATTTGAAAGGATTAAAAAAAAGGAAAAGAAATAACAAAATAGTAAAAGAACTAAAATTTGAATATATTGTAATGCATATGAACTATTTGCATATTATTATTTTATTTCAATTACCAAAATCCATTTTTTAATAGTTGTAGTTTTACTTTTAGTTAACAATAACAACACTGGTCCAGTGAATCTATGGGATCTTTCTTTGCCTTTGAGCTTGGAGGATTTCAGCATTTCACTAACATGACTGTCATATAATTAACAGCGCTAATTAATTACTCTACGCATCAGTGGGGACAAAGACTTGTAGGATAGTATTGCACGCTGAGGTCTCATAGTATAACAAGAAAGCACCAGATTGTCAACACAGCTAAGAGAAGATGGCTAATTCTGGCAGTAACTCTCAGCCTTCTCTTAGGAAGGTGTTAGCGTCTTGTTAAGGTTAATCTCCTTGGGTCTTCTTCCATTAAGATATAAATAAAACATTCTTGCAAATAAGAGTGAATTAAGGAGTATAGATGATGACAAAACTTGAATAACTTCCATTTTCCTACTTGTTTTGACAAAAACAGTTGAGACTTTAGCTAATTTGTCCTGTGGTTTGTGAGCTAACTCAGCTTTGAACTATTCAACTCACGTTTGGCTTCAGACTCTACCCCAAACCCTCAGAAGGCCAAGACCTTCAGTTCTTGCAAATACACCATTAAATCCTATCTTGTGCACCAGAACTATTCTTAAAATGTATACCATTCTCTGCTAACTCTTAGTACAAAATAGCATACTGGACTCTCTAACTCACCATAGCTCTGGGTTGCCCTTGTCAGTCTCACAGAAGAAGTGGTTGAAAAGGTTTCCAGAGTTAAAGTTTCCCAGCATGGCTGAAGAGAATATAAAACTGCTGCTGTCCAGTGCATTACACGGGACCGACTAATCTCCCATCACATGACAAAGGGGCAAATAATCCCCATATGGGAAGGCTCCACTCACAAGAAAGTGACTCCAAAAGTCACTGGAGCCTTTGTCTGCTAAGCTTAATTGTCTTACTCTAACAGATACCTGAGTATGATATTTGTTGCTTCTGCATGTTCTGACTCAGAAGCCCCTCAGACATGTGGTAATGCTAAAGTTAAACTGTTGTATTCTGCATGTTTATTTGGGGTTTACTCATAATGGTACACCCCAAGTGTGTGTAGGTAATATTCTGTTTGAAAAATGAGCAGTGCATCCCAACTGAGAATTAAAAACAACAACAACTATTTAACACTTTCTGGTAGTACTACTACTAATAATTGAATTTTTATTTATCTGAATTTGAGATGGTCTTAAGGGGCATTCATAGGCACGCAAATGCAGGAGACCGGAAACACAAGCTCATTGGACATTCACTGCATTACAATTTCAAGCTTGGTAAACTCCTTGACCTGCAAAATTGTATCACGTTAAGTCATGTGACCATTAGAAGAATGATACATCATATTGTGACATTTTAGCTGAATTAAAAGAACACAAACTTGGAAACTACAGGTTTGCAACATTGCAGGAGTGGAGTCCATTGTATAAGTGGAGTACATAGCATATTTTTTAAATGTTTTTTAAAAAGGTGCCATGTGTCATATCTTGTCCTTTGTAGTGTCCAAAGAAATTTTGCATGCTCAAAGTCTAGTAGTAAGACCACCTCTTTAGCTGAGGAACAGACAAAAAGATAAAAAATTAAAATAAATATCTCCAATCTGATTGGCTGACTGGCACATTATTTTATCAGTCTGCCTGAAAACAAATTTGTGATTGCAGGCTAGTACAATGAATGCTTCTGATGAACATATACTGAAGTACTTAACCTGACTCTAAACGCCACTTAAAGACCTCAAAATTAGTTTTCTGGCTTATCTGTTGGGATTTGAGGCCACCTTTATGCTTGTGTATCCTCAAACATTCACAAAAAAGTTAATATGTCAACACAAGAAAGAATACTGTTCCTGTCTAGGATTTTTTTTTTTTTTAAATGAGCCAACTGGTTGGTTGCTTTACATGCCAGTCAGATGACTTCTTGTTTAACTGGGTGGTTCTTGGCTGCGAAGGCAACAAGATTTTTTGCTTACAGTCCACAGTCTTGTGTTAAATATGTAACCATTACTTGTACGTTTACACATTTGGTATGCTGTTATACAAAACAACTTACAGTACATTCAAGATATATATATCAAGATATATATTTCTTTCAAGATATAGGCCTACTAGATATATATATTTCAAGTTCTTGCATTCTCGCACCCATGAGTTTGACTTTGCTAGTGTTATGTTCTACTGTTTGAACTATACTGTAAAAAAATGGGTTTTCAAAGTTGTTAATAAAACAAAGATTATTTAAAGCGATAGTTCACCCAAAAATGAAAATTCTGTCATTAATGTATTAATCTAATTAACTATCCCTTTAAGTACGTTTTTACAAGAAAACACTATTCCAGTTTTTTCCACTTCAAATTTTTACCTTTAACTCATGGTGTTTTTACCTTTAATTCATCAAATACTGCACTAAATTTTTCACTGCATAAGAATACAACCATAATATGTTTATTTTAACAGATTTTGCATTTGATATTAAATAGTGTGAATATTCATGAGTATTTTACCTGTGTTTGAGATGTGCCTCCAGGTCACAGCGTGGCATGCTGAGAGAACAAGAAGGTGTCAGTGGACAGGTGACTGACAACTTATCCAGCAGCTTGTGCACCAGAATGCTGGAGCGCCGGCAGACCTGCAGCTGCAGATGCGCACGGTCCAGCGGACAAAAGTCCCGTTCCTGCAGAAAGCTGCGCAGGCAGCGGGCACAGAAGGTGTGGCCACATGGTGTATCCAGGGGCTGAACTAACGGCTGAAGGCAGATGTGGCACACCAAATCATCATCCACTTCCAGACGATAGTTATAAAGGTGGTTCTCGCAGGCGCGGTGAATCTGTCCACATTCAGAGCAAAGGGCCTCCAGAAGAGCTTCGCTCACCATGCCCGGGTCCACTCCCTCTCCCAGACTGCCCATTGTGCTTGGCTTCGGCTACACAAACACACTTAGTGGTTTGGTTACGGGGGTGTCAGAGGCTGTGCGACTCCGGCAGGGGACGGCCACCCCCTGGTAGACGGTGTTACATCACCCTGAAGGAGAAGAAGTGAGGTAACCGTTCTGAATGAGAGAACGTGTTTGTGTGTGTGCCATGTGTTGTGAGCATGAGATTATGTTGCAGAGCAGTGTGGGTTTACTCCTGCACATTAATCTGACAGTGTAATCTCTTGCTCTCTCGCCTGGAGCAATCTTTCAATCCCGCAGAGAGAGAATTATCTTGGATTGAGGCAGGGAGCGCAGAGTCAAGAGGTTTTGATGTGAAAGTGAGAATGGGGGGCAAGAGAAGATGACAAAAAGAAATACTCTATAAGATTTGAATTGATAACATTTGTTCAGAAAAGCCAGATTGGGGGGTGGGTGCAAACTCATCCGAGTCATTAAATACAAATATTTATCAAAACCTACCAGATTATAATTAAAATCATTCCTCTGAAGGCCCTGTTTCTAATTTTTGATACATTGTAGATTTAAAGGAACGGTTGACATTCTCTCTGTATTTACTCACCATTATGTCAATTCAAGCCTGACTTTCTTTCTTCAGTGAAAGAGTATTTTTAAAATTTCTGAAGAGTATTTTTTCAGTATAACTAAGGTGAATGACTGGGCCTCCAAAAAGCACCATAAAGGGAACATAAAACTGATCAGTGTGCTGTATTTCAAATCATACACTGGTTTAGTAGCTATTTTTCACAGAAAATCTTGTTAGCTGAAAGAAATAGTCATACAGGAGTGGAAAAACATGAGGGTCAGTAAATATGACAGAATTTTCATTTGTCTGTGAACTACATCAGGGGTTTTCAAACTGGGGTCTGTGAAAAACGTCTAGAGAAAATAAATCAATAAAATATGATATAAATGAATAAACAATACATTTAACAGTACATTACTAAGATGTAGTGAGCAGGCAAAAAAATGTAATAGACCTTAGTCAGAGTAGCACTATATTTAATTTTTGACAAAAATGAAAATGAGGCTGTGAGGGATAGAAGTACAGTGCGTTCAACGGATTGTCGTCGGAAATGGAAAGTCATAAGTTATGATCATATAGTGTGTGCCATTATAAAGACTGTAAGTATATCCCTCAATGCCTCGTTTTCGTCTGTGTTCAATATGCCATTTCACCTGATTATGTTCTATGTAATAAAAACGAAATATTTTTCAAATAATATTGTACACATACATTTTTTACACTATAAACTGGACCTTAAAAATATTCCGTTTTAAAATGGGAGTCCCTCGTATGAGGATGATCAAATTTGGGGGCCGTAGCATCTAAAAGATTGAAAACCCCTGAACTAGGCTTCTAATAATTGGCTTTTCGAGGCCACCAAACAGCAGGGGGCATTCTATTGGGCCAGCGATAACTACAACCTTCGCCTGTATTCACAGTATCCGACAGCTGTGCATCCGTGAGCAGCCCCACACTTGGTCTGTCGACGGCATCTCTGTGACTACCTGCCTCTGTTTTTATCTTGCAGCTGGACATGAATAAAACATGAGGACACAAGGCTTCTCTGTTCCGACTACAAAGCCCTGTCAACGTCTCATCAGACACACATACCCATGCACACTCGTCCCGCACACTGTAAATGTCTTAATGTGGATAGTCTGATCTAAATGAAGCAGCTTGTGCTTAAACTTCATCCCTTGATAGCATGATGTGGGACTTCATTAAATAAGGTTGGAATGTCTAATGGCTTTTGGGCAGCTGCCATTAGTATTTCTATTCTATGCTGGATCCTCTGATGACTTTTAATCACAAGGGAGTGTTTAGATATTGACTGCAAGGGCTGTTCAAGGCCACTCACTTGTTGTATCCTTGTATCTTTAGCTGCTTGTCACAGTTGTCTGTGTTCTCACTTGCAAAATGACACATTCGCGGTTATCTGGCTGCCTGGCGGATGAAGAATTAAATGTTTGTTCAGCTGAACTGACATAAAATAATGCAAATTAATCTGACATGCTCCATGTAGAATGATATGCACATCTCTAAAGTCTTTATTTATTGAGAAAACGGCTTTCAGTAGCAATGACATGTTTCCATTCTGCAGTCCAGATCTATTCACAAACCAGCGTTTTTGACACCCATCTCGCATTGCTTTTCCAAATCAATACATTGACCTTATTTTACAGAAAGGTTGCACATTCACAAACAGGTAGGCAGGATTCTCTTTGTAGAATTAAAATGTCTGTGGATGCCACCTGCATGAATTGTCTCGTTAATAAGGCGTATCCAATCCAGATCTATGACATACAAATATCGATATCTCATTATTTCTGGTACAGAGCGGCTCGCTGTACATTTTTTCGTTTACTGTCTCTCTCTCTCTCTCTGTGCTATCGCCCGTACAATAGGCGACAATGACATGTAACAAAATGCGTGTAATAATAAAGGATCGGCGGGTGATAATATGAGTATTTGAATAACATTACCTGTTCGCGTTCCCTTTGGATGTGAACTCTCGCCCCGAGAGGGGATAATCATGGAGCTCAATCACATCCACCGCAGCTTGCCCGAGCCGCATCCGCACGTCAAAACACCCCCGTATCTGTCTTGTAGCGATGTCCGATTCGTTAACGAATGGCTCGTTTGAATAGACTCTTTTGAATGAATCAATTGAACCTGTTCATTATACTGGTCTAAATAATTAGTGCATGTATTGGACTTAATCGGCCCAGCGACTCTCGAGTCAAAAACTGCCCGACTCGTTGAACCGAGAACCGTCTCTTTCAAAAATGTCCAGACGATGATAAATGCATTTGGAGTGAACTATATATAAAATATCAAATGAATATGAATAAAATAACATGAATATAAAAAATGCAATAAAATCTTGACACTCTAACACTAGCTCTTTCTCTATTTCTATATCTACTATTTATTCTTTTTATTTATTATTATTAAAAAAATTAACTTGCTACGTGTAAGACTAACATGGGACATGTCCAGTGTTGGGGAAAGTTACTTTTAAAAGTAATTGTGTTGTTTTTTTGAGTGAGATGAATTAATGCATATTCATATTTATTTTAGAACTACAGTAACATCTGATTTCTCTCAACATGGGGACAGGAGAGCTGTCAATCAATAAATTGGAAAAAAAAAGTAACTTGCGTTACTTATTTGAAAAAGTAACTCAGATATTCTCTTGTAAATTAAAAAGTAATGCGTTACTTTACTAGTTACTTGAAAAAAGTAATCTGAATACGTAACTCGCGTTACTTGTAATGCGTTACCCCCAACACTGCATGTCACCTCACGTACAGTAGACTACATTGTTGCTCTTTTATTGGTTTTGATTGCTTCTATTGTCTTCATTTGTAAGTCGCTTTGGATAAAGCATCTGCTAAATGATTAAATGTAAATGTAATTACTGAGGATTTGAATGATAAAGTTACTTTATAGCCGGATAGCAAAAATGTTACAAATAAAATGTTCTGGAGATATATGCATGACTTGATTGCATGATTTATCAACAAAATCAAATGCAAAGGCAAACCAAATTTGGTTTTAATACATAGGTTAATTTCAAACATAATTAATTAATTTAAACCCAAGATATATAAATTAATTTTATTTTTGCTTATTGTAAATGCAAATTATACTTAAGTTCCTATTAGTGGATTTCCTGGCTATAGTGGCTATAACAAATTGAACTAGGACACATGATATTAAAATAAAGACCCTTATTTATTAAATCTTAAGCGAAAATAACATAATAGCCTAAATAGCTTTTTAGAGGATGCACTGGAACGTTTTAGAGCATGTAATATGCTAAGGGACCATGTAATGACGTAAAGAACCACCGAATCATTCTTGAACCGCTTCATTTAGACGAACTGTTCAAAAGAACCGATTCGAGGAACTTCTGTCGGACTCAACGTGGAGGCGGGGACTCACGTTGTCAATCGAATAGCAGGTGTGACCATTTAGGTGCCTGATTGAAATGCGCCCTTATGTTTTAAGCATAGACTGTATGATTTTTTAGACGCTATAGTTATTAATTATATATACAGAAAGGTTTAACGTTTTAGTGTGAATTTTGCTGTCATGCATGTCCGCAGCTGACGTAGGTTATATTTTACATCCGTTTTTTAGGTTAGGACTATGATCAAGGACTAAGTCAAACGGGGTCCTAATTTGGGTTCTCATCAAGTATAGGAAATAACACCAGTTAGCAAGCAGAGCTGAAACGAATTAAAATTTAACACTGAATGCGTTTCAGTTTAAATAAATCATGGATGAAAGTGAACTAGAGAGGTATGACATAACTTAAGATACTGTTTTTTGCTTACAACCGTTTTAGTGGGCTAGTTTATGATGTTATGTTAAATGTGTGACCCGGCTGAGTGCAGCTGTTTAACAGTCAAGATGTATTGGTAATATGTGGTCAGGTATCATACTACATGCAAGTTAGCAATCATCTCCGATATCTTACAAGGAAGGAATTATTCATTTAGATAAAAAGCAGCCATGTGCTTTGTGACATTACCTGTTCTGTTCTATGTTGTGATAACAACATTAGTTGTAATTGAGAGCAACTGCCTTAAAGATCAAAGTACTGTCAGTACAATTAAGCATTAACGTTATAGAAATACTGAATACTGTCCCTGCAGTCAGGAATGAAAATGAAACAATAAGTGCTTCGGGCCCGTAGGTTACAGCAGTACAGTTACCCATTTCTCTCACTCGTGTAAATATTCTTTCCTCCAACAGGAAAGCAGTGGAGGAGCTCCTTAAAGAAACTAGCAGAGCAAAAGTCCGTGCTGAGACAATGGGTGCTACTGGATGGTAAGTATAGATAATCATGTTGAAAGGTGCAGAACAATTTATTTGCTGTCCTTGATTGACAGTTTACAATTTAGAAGGCTTTATATCTTATAAATGAATACTTTTCGGAATTCCCTTATGTTTCTTGAATCTAAAAGCTGGTTAAATTGCTGTTTTCTAGGATGAAATGTCCGCTGGGAAGCACAAACAAGCGCTTTCTGCTGAACACAATTCGTTCCTCTGCTGTGACGCATCAGCCTACAAATCAGCGTGCTTCGGAGAGGGGAAGAGATGATGAACATAGGTACAAAAGAGCTTGTGAAAAACATCACAACACGGACTGTGAAAAGTGCAATCACAAAAAAGACTATTCACACAGAAGATACCACTCTGACTCTCATTCACACACTTCCAAACACCGCTCTTCCTCACGCAATCATTCACCATCCCGAAGAAGACACTCCCCTCACCTCTCCCGGAAGTCAAAAAGGACTCGATCTCGCTCACCAGTGCGGGACAGTTCCCCAGATGTCAAAAAATACACTGACAGAGGGGGGAAATGATGCAACACTCTCTTTGTAGCTTTTTTGTTTTGAGCACACATGAGATCTCTACATGTCTATGTCATGTCCTATGAATGCGTACAACAATATGAAGGCATTCTGCAAATTTCCATTTGCATTATATTGCTGAACAATAATATTAAAATAGCATTTTTAAAACAACTAAAAGACGGAATTTGATTATTGAGAGAGGCTGTTAATATCATTTCAGAACTATTTTTAATAGGTCATTGTGTATCCTTGTTTCCTTGATTTTTTTTATATAATTTTATTGTTTGTATAAACATACTTTGTGCGTGTGTACACACTAAGTATATATGTTTACATATTATTAATTTGTGTAAATTAAATCTTAACCAGCAATAAACATGATGTTCGTAGCTACAGTCGTAATTACTCCGGAATATATCAGCAATAATGTAGTTTTTCTCAACAGTGGACTTTGGTTTAAAAAAACGTTTAGAAATTAACGTTTGCGCAATAAACGCGAGTGTTTGTCGGCGACGTTTCTGTCATCCATCCATTCAGTGCGTGGTGTCAGAATGAATGACTGCGCCTGAGATTTTCCTCAATGCGCGATTTAAATTTCATTTTAAATGTCATTATCATTCCTTTGCGGCGGTTAGACATGTTTGGCCAAGCTTTCCTGTCGCCACTAAGCAAGCATATTTTATCGCCATTCATCCTCTTATTTCTTATCAAAGAGTCTGAAAGTAAAGGCTCGGTTTCCGTGATCCACCTGGTTGCTCGCACCTCACCATGTGATATTTAATTTAAATCAAAATACACGTATGTTAGGCTAATTAAAAACTGCAGTATTTACACGGGTAGCCAAAACTGCATTTTCCTTCAGTTTTATAGACGAAGCATTATGTGGGTGTAGGCCACTGGGTTTATCAACATCTGATTACGTGTCGTTTTACATAACGCAATTGTACGATTATGATTTATCTGAACTCCCATTATCGAGTCGCACTTGGACATTTATAGCTACATATTACTCCTACTCAAACATACAAGTGGTTTCAGAACGCTTTTGCGTGTCTCCTAACTGGTTTATTGCGTTTTATCTGAAGTCTCAAAACGCATTTTAATTGCTAGCCGATTTTATGTACCAGTGCCTTAAGTTGTGTATTTTCTCTCTGGCATGGCAAAGCTACATTTCTTATCACTTTACACCATTATCCCTCTCATATCCTTCCATGGATATGATTCCAAATAGCGTCGTCTCTCTCACGCTTCATAAAACCTTTTGTACTCTTTCAACATTGTGAAAATAGTCTCGGATAAACTGAAAATAGTCGCGGATAACGGTTTCCTTTCCTTTTCAAACTAGGTCATATATAAACACCATTAAGCGCCGTTACGAGGCTTGATCTGCGAGGAATGGATTTGCCTGAATTTTATGACGGGCATGAGAGCCCCATTAAGATAGGAAAGAAAGTGCCATTATTGTCATTTGAAGAGGTCCATGCAAACACAGCACTATGCCATGTATTCTTGAAATTTGCTTGAATATAATAAAACATTCTGTTTTTATTAAAAAAAAATATATATATAAAAAGTCATGTATGTGATGTATTTACTTGTCACTTTTTGAAGTCTTGACAAATGCAAGGTTGTAGTAAAGAATAATGATTTAAATGTCATTCGTCTTAAATAACCCTTTATTTATTTATTTGTTTTATTCATGCATGCAAACGAATGGAAAGGATGCTCGGATGGAGTTCTGGAAAAATAATTGGTCAAAGAATAAAATTTCCGATGTCAACACTTTTTACAAACGTTAAACGTTAAACGTCTAGTTGGGGGACAAATCCAAAACAGAGAAATTCACAGTCTTTTTAAAATTAAGAAAAAATAGAGATACATTAAAAAACTTAAATCTATAATGGGCTATTATTTGTTTTTGAACATAATTATTTATTGTTGCTTCAACATACAAGACTTGGGAAATTCCCCTAATTGAAAATCACCTTTTGCTGCCCGTTTCTCTCTTGTTCTGACCTCTCCAAACATCCAAACAGACTGCCAGGTGCGCTTACGTTGCGCACACATCTCAAACTAATTGAGTTCTGTTTCACTCTCAATGTTAATTCGTTTACACCGAACAGCTCGTTTTTATTTATCCACGAGGACTTTAGTTTAATGGACCGTGGACGGGTGTGCTTAATGGCAGGTAAGCTTGGTTAAAGCAAAAGACGGACAACATGTTGAGAGGTGTGCGTAATGATTGCCCTTGTCACCAGTGTCCATAGATTTTACGTAACAAGGACTTAATGGTGCCTCTTAATGTGTACATTTAGAAGCCCACGCGCTCTTTTTACGAGAAAAATAAATGTTTAATAGGTAAATTCTATCTTACGCATAGCTAGTATTCGGCTTCAGATAAAAATGCGCGTTCAGAATAACTTAATATTTCATCGATACTTTTGAAACCAAACGTACCCTATAGCCTATATGTAAAAAATAAATATGAACTTTTTAGACCCCCCAACCACTTCGCACCCTGCTACACTTTTTTAAACGGGATCAAAACGTTTTATTTTTTTACCATTTTCCCAAAGAACATTTTAATAATCTGAAGACATCTTCCCACTAAATAACATTTTGTGCAATAGAAAGTTTCCATGGACGTTTAATGTTATTCATAGATGCCAAGTTATAGGCTATTTGTGCAGTTACTTTGTTGTCATATTTTGTTTTTGCTTAGATAATTAAAGCTCAAGGTCTGGGTTATTTTGCCTTTGATAAGTGTGAATCGATCCTGCCTCTCTTCTATCGGAAGTTGATAAAGAGAATTTGAGAATTTAGAATGTTTTATCAACATTTTTTATTCTACATTTTGAAGTCCCTTGTTTATACCCGTTCGGTGTTCATTGAACAGCGGCAGCCTTTTCTGTGGAGATCAGAGATACGGATTCCCCGATTCACCTGTCTTTGCAGTAATTCTAACAACTGCAGTAACACATATAGTCGCAGGCAAACAGAAAGTGTTTGCCAAGGGCATTGATTTGAGCATGGTCAGTTCTGTTCAATTATTGTCAACCCGCGGGGCAGTCGAAAGGAAACACGTACAGAATCTACTGCCAGTTGACAGCTTTGTGTAAACAGTGAAACCAATGGTGCAGCAGGGTCACATGGTCACGGTGGCACACCTATGAGGCCCTCGATCGGCGCCAGACGCTCAGACTGCAGGTAGAGCAGAGGTCCTGATCAGGGGCAGGGCGCTGGCTCGTGTACAGCACGGTTTCCCCGGTCTGTGGCAATCATGAATCGGGAAGAGCACTATTACCCTCCTAACCACCTGTACAAGGACTCTTGCGCCTTCCAGAGACATCCCAACGAAGACTACAACCAAAACCCTCCACCGTGTCTGTATATGAGACAGATTCAGTCCGTCTACGCCTCACCGTCCTTGGGCAGCCAGGACCAGTCAAATCTTACCGACATTACTTCTTATAACATGTCGACCCGGGATGATCTGACGGGGCCTCATCTTCACCTTCCCCAGACTCCGCAGACATCTCTACAGACGCTCGGCGGTTACGGAGACTCTCTTGACCTGTGCGGGGATCGGAACAGATACCATCTGCCCTTCCCGTGGATGAAGTCAACGAAATCTCATACGCACGCCTGGAAAGGACAGTGGACAGGTAACTCTAGTACTTCGGCCGTTAATTTGTAGGTTTACCAATTAACTTTTGACAAAATTAAAGCAGGCCCTAATGTCACATTCATGCTTATGATCTCCAAAGAATCATTGTGTTACAAGATTTCCATTTGGAAGTAGATGGTTGTATTTCTAATTACCCCATTTAGTTAAAAATAACTTTGTTTTTGTAGATTCCAAACGCATCCATCGTTGTTCAGAAAAAGAAAAGGATATAGCCGACAGGACCAGGGTTCTGACAATGGGCTGGGTTTCCCAAAGGCATCGTAGTTTGACACATATAAATGCTGAAACGCGGCCCTGAAAAAGTGTTATTGTCGTAAAAAATTGTTACAGCAGTCACAATTCAGTAATATACACAACCCATTTTTCTTGAGTGGTCATTCAGTGAGTGGTCCACACGCAAATTACTTTTTTGTCTTTCTTTTAAAAGACAAAAAAAAGATAAAATACTGTTTTGGTCTTTTATCGCCCACAAGAAGAAAACAATAAGAAAGGAAGTAAAGAAAGTTCGTTTTTTGTTTCTTTGCTTAAATTCTATACTGCATACAATTGATGACTTTTAAGTGCCTGATTATTTTTACATAATTTCTAGAACAATGTTAATAGTTATATTTACTGTAAAATGTTACGATTATTAATTTTTGTAATATAAAAAAAAATCGTGAAATAAAAGTAAAAAACATAATAACGTTATAGAAGTAATTCCCTATATAATATATACATACAATTTGTCATATATAATTATTAAAATAGCCTATAATTGTTAGGCTATTATTATTTTGGGATTAAATTAATGACCTGATGAACATAAATAGCCTATTACTTGACCATTGCAAGGTATCTTTTTTATGGAACAGTTTTACAGTGAAAATGAATTTGATCTGGATTTCTTTTACTCTGAAGACATTTTAAAGACTAATTTTAATTCCCCAATTAGTAGCCTATTTTATTTAGACGTCGGATAAAAACATTTCTAGCGGTGAATGCACGTCAGATTTCACCAGCTGCTGAGTGATTAAAGCCTATATTGACGGAAACTAGGCTACAACACAACTTTCATTCGAGACCATACTTATACGCTATTTCTTGTCATTGAATCTAATAGCCAAAGGTGCCCTATTGAAATAAAAAGAAACTAGCCTAATTCGAGTTAAATGCATATTATTTTCAGTCTGAAACATCTGGTTTAAATGAATATTATTTTCAGTCTGAAACATCTGGTTTAAGGTAGTCCTCATTTTTACTTGAACTATAGGCTACTGAATTCAGTTGGGAGGTTTTGACCTTTGAGATGACGCCCGTGAGTTTTTTTTAAATATATAGCCTATATATAACGCCCTGATCAAACGTTCAGATAACTTTCAAACTGGAATACCCTCAGAGGCAGATGGTGTGTCTGTGTCGAAAACATGACCTTACTAAAATGTCACTACTGTTATTCTGTTTTAGGACCTTACATGGTGGAGGCCGAGGAGAACAAGCGCACGCGGACGGCATACACCAGAGCGCAGCTGCTCGAGCTCGAGAAAGAGTTCCTCTTCAACAAGTACATCTCGCGCCCGCGCCGCGTGGAGCTCGCGCTCACCCTCAGCCTCACCGAGAGACACATCAAGATCTGGTTCCAGAACCGACGCATGAAGTGGAAAAAGGAGGAGGACAAGAGGAGAGCCAGAGGAGTGGATCCCGAACAGGATTCCTCCATCACGTCCGGAGATCTGAAGGAGGAGTCATGTGTCGCTCCGGGAACGGGACCCCCCTCACCCCTGCACTCTCACCTACCTCCAGTCCCACAAGACTCCTCAAACAAACACTGACCCAAAGAGACATGTGTCATCAACACAATCTTTCAGCCTGCCATCGACGTGTGGAAATACAAGTGTGCCAGTGACACTGACCAGAGTGCGTCAAATGCTGTAAATCTGTACAGTAGGCCTACTCAAAGATTGACAGTAGGGGGCGATCTCAGTGGTGTGAGAGGCGAAGCTCCCCTGGAGTCAGTTTCTTGGGAGGTGTTTTTGTGTAATAGAAATTCATGACGTCATCAAATGTTCATGAGCAAAACTTTATTGGACATTGTTATAATTGTATTCGTATTTATAGATAGACAATGAAAAGTCAAATTCAAGTGAATATCTCTCTATCATGAATTTCTTTCAATAACATTCATAATATTTATGTAGCTACTGCTAAACAAATTAAAAACATGCGTGCCGTCATATCATTTGTTTTAATTTGGTGCAAATAAGTAGCCTAAAACAAAGCAACCCATAAAAGACCGCCGATTAATAATCAATATTTTTTACGGATTTCAATACCCAAAGTTTATTAACCAATGCGAGAAAAAATTTGTAATGCAATAATTTCATTTAGCCCTATTGGAATTATTCATTATTAATTAATCAGAGCAAGCTGTTCAAGCATGTTTTGGCACAAACATAAGTACTGCCATTTTTCTTATATTTCTCTTTACTATAGATTTACAAAGCATTAAAATTGTTCTTTTATTGCGTTAGATGCGCCAGAACCCCGCTAACAGGGAACGTTGTCACAATTTGGCTAACGTTCTGGCAAGGTTCTCTCAAAGTTGTGAACAAACATTCTGCCGGTAACGTTAATAGAAAGTTAATTCAAAGTTATCTCGTCTTGAAGAGGCTCACGTTCTCAAAACGTAAGCACAAACCATGACATCATTCATGGAACGTTTTTCTGAAACATTTTAGTTGGATGTACCCGAGGCTACTTGCTAATTTCAGAGGGTTGAGACATTCAAACGTAATTTTCCCATCACGTTTGCGAAATGATCAAATAGAACGTTCCTTTATTTTAATGTTTCCCCTAACGTTCACATAACCCAGAAAAATGTTTTTCAAACATTTAAAAACCTGGACGTTTTAAATGTTCAGAAGACATTCGAAAATAACGTTTTCATAACTTAATGGGTTAACGTTTTTAGAACAAATGGCTACTTCCTATGGGTCAATTAGTACGGTGGCCGAGAAGTGCAAAGCAGATCACAATTCTGAAAACAAAATAACAAATTACAAACGCAAATGCAAGTCTAAAAAACAAAATAACAATTCAGAAAGCACAGCAACAATTCAGAAAACATTATAACAAGTCAGAAAACACAATGACAAATTCGAAAACAAAATAACAAGTCAGAAAACACAACGACAAATCTGAAAACAAATGAACAAGTCAGAAAACACAATGACAAATCAGACAAACCGGAAGAGGTAGGTATAGTTTGAGACAGCGCCATTGGTTTGGGATTACTCACCGCTGACTGGACAAGACATCTGTCAATCAACGTATACAGGAAGAACCAGCCGAAGAACAGCAGAGTCGTGGTAGAAAGTTCGGAGATGGTATTAAAGTAGCTCAGTTTGTGTAAATAGGTATTTGCACTTAGTGTAAATAGCATATTGCTAAAAATACTGCTATTTTCACTTAGTGTAAATAGAATCCATTGCTAATAAGAGATTTGAAAAGGGAGAAAAAAAAAGTTCGGCAAAAGGTGGGATTGAACCCGGGTCGATCGCGTCAAAAAGCCACTGACACACGCTTATCCAGCTGCACCACTGGAGCTGATGATTTACCACCACTTTTAACAATTGTTGTTGTGCTTTCTGAATTGTTATTTTGTTTTTTAGACTTGCATTTGCGTTTGTAATTTGTTATTTTGTTTTCAGAATTGTGATCTGCTTTGCACTTCTCGGTCACCGTAAATTAGGCATATAGGCCTTCTTATTTTTTATGTGTGGATGAGGCCCATTTTTTTAAGAAATAGGCTAAACACAAACAAGTAGAGAGGTGCAGTAAAACATTTTGTAACGGTAACTTGTTACAGTTCGGTTTGAATGTCAGATAAGACAATACTGCGTAACCTGAGGCGACAGATTTTTTTAACCTCTTCAATCGCGCGCTCTCGTTCCGCTGCGCGGTCATTCTTCAAGCGTTCAGACAGTTGGCCCACAATATCTGCTTTTTTGTTGAGACGGGCACAGATGACAAAAGGGAAGCCAAAGCGCTCCTTGTACTCCGAGTTTAGACGGTACATTTGCAGAACCTCGGCGGAGTCCAGTGTGGTCATACCGGCTTGACTCTGCTCTTCTTGAGACTCGCGTGTTAGCGTCCCGCTCTGGAGGTCCCGGCCCGCCAAATCAGGGTGACACCGCAAAATGCCCTCTTTACCTGAACACATTCAATGTACTTAACCAGTAAATAAATTATTGTGTTTAAAACTTAAGGAAACCTGATTTTGATAAACAGACAAAGCAGAAGAAATCACCTGAGTCTGGTAGACTGAGAATGAATTCCGTTATGTGAGCCTCGATGTCTGCTAGATCTTTGAATGGCCGGTGGGACCATATTGCAGCCGAAATGAGGGGGCATTTCTCAACCACATTACCGAATAGTTTCACAAAATCCTCGTATGTTAGAGCATTTACAACGTTTATGTCCATGGCTCCGGCGCGTGTCCTCTGCAAACTATAGGGAAATGGCAAAATCCAATATTGGACGAGGTCAACGTCCACTGGGGCAACTACGGTTCCCATTTAAATATCAGTAGTTGTCTCAATGTGACGCACTAAGGAGGATGAATATCCTCATTACACAATACAGGTATGATTATTGGGGTTTATATATCCTATTTAAATTTATTCCATGGTCTGTCTTGAATATTGGATTCCGATTGGCTGGCAGGTATGCAGTAAAACCATTTAATGCACAGGTAGTTCCATATTACTGTTCCATAGTAATGCGCTGCTTGCTTTAATTGATGTACACATATGGAGCGAATTTTGTGACAATATTAATCAAACAAATCCAGCGTTTTGCAAATAAACACAATTTGCTTTGCAAATAAAAACTCGACTTTCAAACAAACGCAAAGTGATTTGCAAATACAAAACTCAATTTGAGAGAAAATGTAGAGGTATGGACAAATATATGTATTGTGTGTTACAACTGTGAGACTCATTTGCCTTTTTATGAGGAAACTTGGCTTGATTTTCTCACAAATGCGTGCAGGCAGATTTTCTCACAAATGCAATTGAGCGACTTTCTTTTCCAAAAACAGCAGATGGCGCTGTCGGTCAATTTAGGCTACGCTAGTCTTCGGAGACCAAACTTTTCAGAGAAACATGAGTGGGGAACAGGTGAGTTTCTGTCTTACTATATCTATAATTAACCATATAGATGTTTTAACAAAGCGACCCTACTACAATACCAGTGAAATTCACAATAAGTGCTGTAAAGTTGTTAACATGATTAGTTAGTTCAAAAATCAGTAGTGACATGGCTAAACATTTAACTAAGGCAGTATTTCCCTATAAAAACTGATCCATTCTCCGTACCTCTTATCCTCTGTTGGATCGCGGTATATAGAATATACATACATATGTTGATACAATTGTTCAACATTCAAAACAATGCAGGGGTATAACAATATATCATGTCACAATATATTGTAATACTATAAAATGCAAATGTATTGTGGATAGCGTCACCTGTGTACCAAAAATGAAAGCGTTTTGAATTTTATTTTTACGTTAGGTCAAGTAAGATTTATTGTCATTCTGCTATATATGTTGAGACATAGCCTACAGTGGAGAGAAATCTCTGCAGTAAAAGTTTAAACAAGTATAAAACTACACATAGACAACCTACTGAAAGGAGTAGGCTAATCTAATTATACAAATAGGCTATTGTAATCAAACTAGTTTAAGTTCAGGTGAGCTTTATTGTGATTCAGCTATATAAATGTACTAAAATATAATCTAAACATTAATATCCCTTACGGAAAATTAACCATGGTTTTACTAAATAAATACCATGGTATTTGTAGTAACGCTGCCATTATAGAAATGGTCACCTGCAAAAAAAAAAACATTGTTACCACACTTTTACTATAGTAAAAGCAACTTTAATTTTCGTACGGGATATCATAGTTTATTATCATATTTATGTTTATACAGGTGCATCTCAATAAATTAGAATGTCGTGGATGCATTGAATTTATTTAATACACGAGTTTCACAATTTGAGTTGCATTACTGAAATAAATGAACTTTTCCACGACATTCTAATTTATTGAGATGCACCTGTATATAGCATAGTTTATATACACGCCTTGTACAACATTTAAAACTAAAAATGGCCTGTAAGGAGATATTTCATATTTCAACCAATATACCGGCAGATTTTAGTCTGACAATATAGCCTGTTTGGAAAAATCCAATTAAAAATTTGTAGCTTTTTATATATGGCCGAGCAACATTTTAACTCATGAAGTTAAGAATAAAAGGCTACTGTCAGGAATTATATTAGTGGCTCTTCAAAATGCAAACGTTCGTCATCTGAGTCACTCCGAGAAGAGTCCTCACTGTCCAAAGTGTGTCTTCACCCATGTAGCGTGCCATCATCCAACACGCAGAAAAAGAAAGTAGGCTAAATTCTATGATGAAGCTTGACGTTTTGATGCCATTTTTCGGGGGCATCTATATGTTTACCTGGCTGACCTCAGATCATTAACATGTGAACAGAGGGCTCAGTGTGAGGCGGGATCACATTAGCGATAATGAGGTGAGACAGGAGAAACTGTACCTCTCCTTACTTTCATACGGATTATATAATCAGAGAATATTTGTTTTCAATTTGAATTGGTTTTAAAAGTAGACATTTCAAGCTTTCTATACATATATGTATCATGTATGTGAGGCACATATTCACTGAGATTCAGGTTGTTTTATTCATGTGCCTGTGAAGAAAGTTCCTGGAGACCGAGACGGCAGAAAGCGCACCCTGTTTGTTTTCTTTATTTTACAAAAGCACATTGTTTTATTGTTATTATGACTATACACAAATAAAAGTAGACCCTTTGCAGTTTCAAATGATGCCATACTCGTAT